ATTCTCCATTATTCATTCCAGTTCATAGCCATGACAGGACAACGTCTGTCGGGTCAGCTAGTAATAATAATAGAACAAAACAGATCTGACATAATCATTGTCGACAAGAGCGCCCAGAAAGTAACACTGATTGATGTAGCTATATCTAATAGTAACAATTTAACATACAAAAATAATGAGAAAGTTGTGAAATACAGTGAGCTAGAATTTGAAATTAACCGCTAGTGCAGAATTAAGTACGTCGAGACAATACTCGTACCAATAGTAATGTCATCTACAGGGGTTATACCAAGAAGTCTGCTGGATAACGCTGGAACAGAGTGAAAACATTTACAAAACCTTGCGGAAAGGAGTTTTGTTGGCAACGGCCCGCATAATCTGAAAATTAATGGGAGACGCAAGTACTTAGTGAGGTCACTATTGGGGCTTATCCCTTTGATGCTTGAAACTTCCGGGTTAAGCCAGAACATCCCGATTAACGGAAGTAACAAATAATAATAAAATAATATTATATAATGATAATTGATCTTTTCCTCTTTTGGGCTGGTATAGAGGCCTGCGATAAATATTATGAGCACACTCCAGAAAAAAATAAAGTTGTAAACAATGAGGATGTTCGAATCACGTGGAATGTACCCATCATCACTGATAGAAGCATACCTGCGAACTGCCCGGACATAGTGTACCTTGAAAAAAGAACGCAAACCTGCTTACTAGTAGATGCACCGGTTCCTAACAAATCGAAAATAATGCTGAAGGAAGCAGGAAAGTTAGGCAAGTATAAAGACCTGGAAATAGGAGCAAGCAGAATGTGGAACGACCCGAACAGTTCCAGTCATTGTAGGAGCCCTAGGGACACTTAGAAAAGGGATACAGACCAACTTGGCACAACCCCCAGGACAACCATCTCTTGCTGAAGTGCAGAAAATAGTACTACTGGGCACTGCTCACATTATCCGCAAGGTATTAGGGTGAATCGCTTTGATCTCGGGTACAGATCTGGATTCGCTTAAAAATTCCACAATAGGACAAGAGGAAAACACTGAAATGATAATAATAATAATAATAGTAATAATAACAATAATAAAAAACTGTCGAAGCAAAGATCTACCGACGAATACTTGAGAATACTAAGGATCATTCTTAAATCTGAGTAGTTTGCTAGAAATACATCTACTGCAGTGAATGCCTATGCAGCGTCAACGCTTACCTACACCGTCGGTATACTCAAATGGACTGATACTGAACTGAAAGCCCTAAATATAAGTACCAGGAAGCAATTCTGTCGGTATAGGACAAATCATCCCAAAAGTGCAATAGAGTGCTTCCACTTAACACCGACCTGATCGAGAAGTGGAAATCCAAGCCACTACATGGACGCTGTAGAACGCGAATTGAAGACCAGGCAGTAGACACCAAAGCATCCCAAGAGTGGGTGCGTTCCAGTAATCTGTTCGTGGAGACAGAGGGGTTTGTGATGGCTATTCATGACCAAGTGCTGCCTACGGAAGTCTACAGAAAGCGAATAATGGGAGAAAATATAGAAAATATCAAATGTAGGATCAGTGGAGATGAAGACGAGAACCTAGACCACATTATCGCAAGTTGTTCCACACTCGCCCCAAAACAGTGTCTAGAAAGACACAACGACGTGGTAAAAATAATCTACTTGGAACTAGACAAGCGCTATCTCAATGAAGAACCTACTGAGCCATACTATCGCTACACGCCCCTCCCAGATAGAGAGAGACTAGGTCACATAAAATGTATTGGAACAGGAAAATAATTACAGACCGCACTTATACCAAATAACATCCCTGACATAGTGCTAACGTTAAAAGAACAAAAGATAACATACATTATAGATATCGCGGTTCCGCTCCCTGTCAACCTTCAAAGTACCTACTCAGAAAACATCAACAAGTAATCTATCGCTGTCAGAAAAAATAAAGCGAATGTAGGAAATGAATACAGTTATGATTGTACCGATAGTTTTCGGCGCCACGGGTGAGGTCCTTAAGAAGATACACACAAGTCTTGAAGAGCTAGACCTTGGCCAACATGTTTACAAATAAATTCAGAAATCCGCTTTACTGGGGACATACGGAACAGTCCGTAGAGTCCTGGCAGGCGAAAACTCGATATTGTAACCTGGAAAGTTAGTAGTTGCCTTCAAAATGCTTACATCCTTTGGTGCAAGCCTGGATTAAGCATAGCAAACCCTCTCAGAGGAGATGATTGAATGAACAATAATAATAATAATGATAATAATAAATGGCCTTTATTTGTCCCATCTTTTCAAGGTAATAGACTTAATAAGAAAAAGAAAGAAAAACAAAGTGAGAAAAAGTCGAGTGACAGTTTAGGCTGTTTTTAACCCTAACTAAGGAAATAGGCACAATTGATAAACTACTACCCATATAGAAAAAAAATAGCATAACACCAGCAAGAGGGAACCGCGATTGTTTACTGCCACATGTATGACTTGCCTGTTTGTGATATTGACTTAAATAAATAAATAAAGATAAAGGAGCTGAAATACTCACGCGGCATGTGAAAGTTTACACATCCACACATTTCCAATGTGTAGTTTGTAATACATTCCAATCTACAGTTCTCCGGACTGTACTGTTTGAAATACAACAGTACCTTTTCATTAGTGAAATAGCATTCTCGTATGTCTGGATGGTATTTTCTCACTTCGTCTGGAGTTTTGATCAAATTTGGTTGCACTGTAGCTATCACGGCGTCTCCAAAAGCTACTTTGATGTGATGTTTCTTCATTTGAGGGACCACATGAGGCGCATGCAACAGAATCTGAGATAAAATTAGAAGTAGAAAATATACCGAGTGGTCCGTAGTGAATGCAAAAAAAACGTGAAAATAGGAGCTGCAAAACGAGACCCACATTTTCGTGTGATCCACTAATCCTACAAGTTTTAAAATGAGCTCCAAATCTGCGTAAAAGCGCGAAAATTCTTCAAAGGATATCTACTTCATAATTCTTGGTACCCTTCTTCATTTACTTATCTATACAGATTCCTTGATATGTATGATAGATAATTTCTTTATAATCCATGATGAATCTGACTTGTTGAAAAATGTATATACCTAGATCGAAAGTTCCTCATTTCCGGGTTATTCGATTGGTATACAATAACACTGAGTCATATTTGCAAATGACCTTTGAGGGCTTAGTGCCGCTTGAGGGTTCATCTATCTTTGGAAACAATGCAGCAATAACGCTACCTAAGCAAAATAGTGCATACTTTCTGAATTTAAAACAAAGGACTGCTTCTTACTGGATGGTGATATTATATTTCTGGACAATTATGCAAATTAATATATAACTGGTGAAGCTTGATCCCATATATAATAAGTTCACGATCATTGAAAATAAAAAAATATCGAAATTTGTTAGGGTTAGAAAATTCGGACGTTTTTATTTTGATTCAAAAATGTCAATTATCAGAATCCAGTTTTCCAACTTTTTCGATAACTCAGATTTGTCAGGGTACAGTAATAATACACATCACTCAGCGAAATGCAATTTTTCCAAATATATATATATATATATACATCCTGTTCACTCTTCTGCATCCGTACATTTCTCCATTTACATATTATTCTGCGTCCACCACCTTTGTACGTCCATATACGGACGCAGAAAGAATTTGGTACCATAATTCTGTCCTACATGCGATATCAAACTTCCCGCGTAGAATAATCGCGTCAGTTTCATAGGGACTTTCATTTTTTAGGGTCGTCTTTTTTCTAGAAGTTGTGGTATAAAACATAGCACACATTAATATGGACGTAGAAAGATGGTAAAATGTACACTTGTTATCTGGCGGTAGTTCTAAGATTGGCCGCAGTGGCGCAATTATCGCTACTCAAATATGCAGGATGTATATTTCATGGACACATGATTTTAATGATTCTGCGTCCTAAAATGTGACAACATCGCCTTGCGGTATGATTCGCTTGTAAAAATGATACTCAATCTGGTGCGTAGCTGTTGCATTTCGGAAGACGGCTAAATATCAATCATATGTTACTATCATACTATTTTTTATTGAAAACCATAGTGACAATCGATTTTCTTTTTTTTTAATTCAAACATGTATAAGCATTTTCAATTTGGATAGATCAAAAGAGACAATTTTTTCATGTTCCTTAACGAGCTAACATGTGTAAAAGACAGAGCAGAAAGGGCAATAAATATAATTTTTTTCGATATTACTGACAGCATTTTATTAACCAACTTGAAAACGACACTTGAGTTTTCAATAAAATTACTCTTCCCTCCTTAAGTTGCCTATGACATTCTATCGATTGAATTGACAGGCAATGTTGGATTTTTTTTAATTTCACTTCTGTTCAGATAATTACGCTGTATATTTCTGGCGACGCTTTGAAGTTCTTCATTAGAGAAACAACAACAATCTACCTAGCACGTTTCACTAGACGATGTGTATAAACTAATTTTTTGTTCTCTAGGCCTACAGAACAGACCTAAAAACAACAGCATTCTCACTATCCCTATTCATAACAAGTAACCATGGTATTAATCGTTATTTAAAGTACCATATACTATTTCGCATTTCAGCCCACAATAAAAAATGAATTAATAAATTTTTATTTTTTCCCAATAGCAGTTTTCCGACGCGTTGATATACCTTTACCTACAAATTCGCATCTTCTGTGGTGATTGTCGGGGTTTGATTATTAAGTCTGAAAGTATTCCTACCTTTTGGTTACTTACCTGTAAACCAGTGGATGTTGCAATAAAATCCTCATGACAGCAATTACGATGATATCGAATATGTAATAGAAAACCTGACCTGTGTAAAGACACCTTATTAACATTTGTACTGGAGTCTCAATCATTTACATATATAGGTTCGATCCTCGTCACTATACGATGGCTATAGGGCATCCTTATTGGACAGACGCTTAAGTGGAGAGTCCATCCAGTGAGGAAGCCTTATTTTCTTCAGAAACTGATGAAGATCCGACTTATATACCAGATACGGATATAAGTGGCGATGAAGGATCTTTACCAAAGGTAGAGGTAAGGTTTCATAAGAGTGGAATATTCATTCATGTTTTACAGTAACATCTATTGGTTTACAGGTGCCAAGTAACCGCAAAATAGTCATAGTTACAGACATAGTAATCAAACCCGGACAGAAGAGTGAAGAGAAGAAGAAGAAAAAGTACATACGCCAACCAGATTACTGCTTTTTTTGTGATGAAGATGTGCTAAACTTTGCACGACATATAAAGCGCAACCATATAGGGGAAAGTGAAGTCCAAAATATTCTATCAATACTAGTTAACTCGATTGATAGGAAACGTTGCATAAGTAACTTGAGAAAGATGGGCAATTTTATTAAAAATTCAAGTACTTTTTCTAAGCCAGTACATAAAAGTGCTGTGAATGATAGCGAAGAAAATTATATGCCTTGTCCTTTCTGCCTAGGTTTTTACACACGTAAGCTACTATGGAAACATAAAAGAATTTGTCCACTAAATAAGGATCCTTCAAAAACCGTTCCTTTAAGTGAAGGTCAAGACCTTATGCTACCTAAGAATATAGCAAATTCTGCATTAAAGACTATAGTCTTCCCACGGATGTTGGCCGATAAAATTTCACTGATAGCAAAAAAAGATGCTCTTATATGTGCCTTTGGATCTAGGTACATCAACACACACAGAGAGCAACATCACGTTAACTTTTGCTCAAAAGAAATGAGAGAACTTGCCAAGGTTTTGCTGGAATGTCAAAAACTAGATCCTGCAATCAAAAACTTATTTGACGTGCTTCAGCCACAGCACTTTGACAGTGTAGTACAAAGTGTCAAAGTTATTGCCAGATATAACACGCAAACAGATGTTTTCGAATCTCCGACATTTGCGATGAACATAAGCAGATCTCTAAAAGACTGTTGTGATATGGCAGTTTTACATATTGTCAAAAAAAAAATGTAATTATTTGACAATTTCTGCCTCACAAGCAGAAGCAAATATCGGGGTGTTCCGACAATTATTGGAGAATATGTGGAAGCATGAAATTTCAAGTCATGCTGGAAGGGACTTGAACACGAAGACATGGAACAAAGTGACACCGGTCCCACTAGCTGCAGACTTGAAGTTGTTCAGAAACTATCTAATAGAGAAGGGAAATACAGCTGCTCGACGATTGCAACAAACTAAAAATAATTTTGAGGCACTCATCTTATTAATGGAGACAGCATTTTGTAGAACATTACTTTTAAACCGTAAAAGAGTGGGTGAACTGCAAAGAATAGAAGTAACAACTTACATGGCAGCTGGGAAAACAAGTGCCACACATTATGAAGAATTTTCTGAAGCAATTACATCTGAAGAGCAGGTACTTGTAAAAAATTTAAGAGAGTCGTAACTCGAGGAAAAAGGGGCAGAGGAGTACCAGTTTTGTTTAGTAGAGATGTACAAGACCACATCAAGGTTTTGTTGGACGCACGAGCTACATTTATAAAAGAAAAAAATGTTTTTCTTTTCGCAAATCCGAATTCTGAATGCCAACCCATTGTTGGATACAAGGTAGTTCAAAAGCATGCGAACATGTGTGGTGCCAAAAACCCACAAGCTTTAACTTCGACTAGACTGAGAAAACACCTTGCGACACTGACGCAACTATTTAATATGTCTGAAGGGGACATTGAGCAATTAGCCACCTTCATGGGACATACCATGAATGTACATATTCATGTTTATAGGCTACCAGACGACGTATATCAGGCGGCAAAGATTGCCAAGTTACTTATGTTGATGGAAAAAGGAGAAGCTGGGAAATACAAAGGTAAAGCTCTAGACGAGATAGGCGTAGACATGGAAGAAATGATAGAAGAAAATGAGACGGATATTTTGAGGGAAGAGCAGAGTTCCGCATCAGCCACAGTATCTGCTGTCGATGACGATATGGCAGATGCAGAGGGAAATACAGAAAACATAGCTACTGAAAATAACCAAAGCACTCAGCAAACAAGAAAGCGTATTTTAGTTCCATGGACCAACAAACAAAAACAAATTGTTACACAATTTTTCAAGGAACACATTAAACAGAAGAAACCTCCCAAACGTGGTGAATGTGAGGCTTCGATAGAAACGCATCCAGATTTGCTAGCAAACAAATCATGGACTAAAGTCAAAGTCTTTATTCAAAATCTATATACTAAGAGAAAATGAATATGTGCTTAAGTAGGCCGATTACTTGTTCAAAGTTTCCAACATAGAATGGAAAAATCCATTCCTAATACCTTTCATTTATAGTTTTAACTTAGGTTTACTTTTTGTTAATATTTTAGTTTTTCAGTAAAGGCTGTATACTACCTTTTGTTGTTTTAATATGTCGGTTTAACAATTACCACGATAACTTTGAAAGCGCTATATCGAGACGTTTTCAAAGTGTCTGATCTTAATCCAGAGGTACTCTCAATCCGACTAAACAGTAAAGGAAAAATCTTGGCCATTTCAGCAATGAAGGAGAAGGAGTGAAGCAGAAAAAAAGAGGATAGGTAACCCGAGCGACACGTGTCTCTGCTAATTGGCTTCGTCAGGCCTAAATAAATGTGCACATCCACACATCAAGGTGACCTTGACTCCTCAGGTTACACCCTTATCCAAGTGTATGGGTATGTCTGTTCACCTCGGTGGGTGGATATGCATATCCATTTGGGCCTGACGAAGCCAATTAGCAGAAACACGTGTCGCTCAGGCTACCTATCCTTTTTTTCTGCTTCTCCTCCTTCTCCTTCATTGCGGAAATGGCAAAGATTTTTCCTTTACTGTTTGTTCCACTGTACCGCAAAACTGCCTATTACCTACAGCGACTTTTTACAATCACAAATATGGCGTATATAAACATTAATGCTAATCCATTTTGATATTTCAGTCATAAAAATCCAATGCTTTACTTGTTGAATAATGGAGGTCATGTAGGTTGACTGTACTTCCAAGGCAATTCTGTCATCAATTTTTATTATAGTAGTATGGTTTATTTCCAAAGATAGCGCTGTATCAACTTCAAAATAGAAAGATAGACCAAAGCAATAAAGCTAGATTAAAATTAAAGTGTAATTAAATCAACTCTCATTGGATAAAGGTAGAAAGTCAACTAGGTTTATGTATATCAAAGAAAGAATGAGTTCAGAGGATAATGAAATTTGTGGGTGCCGTGAAACGGACTCTGGCGAGGGATCCGTCGTCTGAACCTCCACGCTTGACTTGAATTTCACAGCCTCTTACAAATAATGCACGACGATCAAGAAAAAGTTCACCTATCGGCAACACCGCAGGACGCATAAACCTGTGTCAGCCGAAAAGAAATATTCTTAAGGACGTAGAAAGATGGTGGAATGAAAAATATACATGGACGCAAAAACCTTCACTGAATGTGACGGACGTTGAAAAGTGGTCAAATAGATTTTCATATTTTTTTCAGCACAAAAGCATCCCAGATCAGTATACTTCATATTTCTCAATCGGTAATGATGAGATCTGCGTGGATTGCCGCTAAAATTTCTATATACTCGTCGGACGCTGAACCCCTATTGGCATGAACAGACGCAGAAATAATAGTGAGATTTATATATATATATATATATATATATAACTTGAGACGTGGTCATTGTCGTCTAGACCAGTTAGGTGAAAAATTAAAGCTTCCGCCTTTTGTTGGGTACTTCGACAAAATTTAAGCAAAGAGGACTCTTTATACTTTTTTTTAATTCTCTCTAGCTTTCATTGGACTTTGCCATCATCATCAGGAGAGTAGTATGTGAGGATTTTGCTAATTGTTGTTTTCGTATAGGATGAGGGAAATGTCCAGTAACATGGTGAGAGCTGGATACATGGTACAATGGTTAAAATTATATAAAATATAAATATTTAACTTGTCTTGTCATATTTAATATAATTTTAACCATTGTACCATGTATCCAGCTCTCACCATGTTACTGGACGTTTCCCTTATCCCATACGAAAACAACAATTAGCAACATCCTCACATACTACTCTCCTGATGATGATGGCAAAGTTCATTGAAAGCTAGAGAGAATTAAAAAAAGTATAAAGAGTCCTCTTTGCTTAAATTTTGTCGAAGTACAAAACAAAAGGCGGAAGCTTTAATTTTTCACCTATATACATATATATATATATATATACTGAGTGACAAAAAAGGTAACCACACCTACGTATATCTATTAAAATTCAAGAATTTTTTACATATCGATTTATCTTGCCATGAACAACAAGTGATAAAATGGTCAGGGTTTTCTGTGGTGGCTGCGTGTAATGTTTGGTGATAAAGAAGCAGTCAGTTTTTGTACATTTACGGTGTCAATTGAATGTTATATTTCGTGTAGGTTATTGAGAAGCCCTTTTGTGATTGCTCAAAATGCCTAGAGTGTGGAGAATTTGACCGAGAGTGTCACCTTCATCACACCGTGGTAGTTATGATATGGGGTGCTATTGCTTAGCAAGCAATGTGATAACCCGACTCTATATTCAGGAAGAAGTGGAGCCTCATGTTATTCCATTCCCAGACACCATCCATCCAAAACCCGATTTTTCATCAAGACAACGCCAGACCATCGTTAGCCTTCATGAATCAACATCACATCAACCGATACCCCAACAGGATATACACCACCTTATCAGCACGATGCCCAAGCATGTCAATGAGTGTATAAGAAATCGTGGATCCTAAACACATTACTGAACCAGCTTCTGCAGTCAGTTGACGAATCAAGCTGAAACTACAATCATTTTACTAGTAAGGAACACTGAACATATATGCCAAAAATTATTAAAATCGGATAAACATACGTAGGTGTTTTTTTTGTGAGTATAATTCATTAAAGCTAGACAAATACTTTTACCTGAACTAGTTAATCAAATCTGATTAATATAATTAAACTGATTTACTTGTAGCAGGTGGACTCATTTTAATAGTTCATTTTATAATAAATTGATGTACTCAATCTAGGTAAACGTAATAAATGTAATTGAACGACTGTGTTTTGATTCAATTAAAATAGATCCATACATTCAAGTAAACTATTTTTGGAGCTTAATTAAATTAATAAATCTTGTTAACTGTCACATAGTTAATTACATTTTTTGATTATCTTACAATTTTAATTCGTTTGATTATCTTTTCAGTGGATCAGTTCAGTAGGGAAAGTTAAGTACCGGCTCTTCTATTATGGAATTGACCACATGGCTTGTAGGGAGATCTTTGACACAAAGCTACATCCATGTCATAGATAAAAAAGTAATGGAACCTTTGATTATTTAATTATTGATCTTAGCGTGTCTTTAAAATTTATTAATTCCTAGGCAATAATGAGTAGGCTTCCATAGCAATACATAGACAAAATACGTAAGATAACCCTTCCTTGCTTACTTCTACGTTAACGGATATGATACTCTATGACGCTATATCTTTGTGAGTCAGTATCCATATCATGTGCCACACGGTGAGCAGGTTATAAACAGACCACATTTGAAAATTGTGAACATCTTCAAGATTCTATTGATACTCCGCGAGTGTCTAGGCTTGTTGATATCGTGAAAAGGCCATCTGGGTAGACACAGTAAAAGACCTAGGAAGCCACAAATGTTGAAAATTTAGGAAAAGTAAACAAACTTGTGTTTTTGAATCGAACAGCGATGATTTCAAGTATTTCAAAATTTCTTTTTAATGTTTTCGGTGTTATTTTGCAGCAAATTAACTATGTTATTTCAAACGTAGTTATTTCGGAAAAGGAAAGTCAAAGGTTTCATAGTACTCGCATAATCTTATTCCATGAGTATGGGATAGGATGATTCCGTGGAATTGAATTAGCTAAGTAATTGCGATTTCTATGTGAAAATATTGATAGCCGAACATGCCTTCATAACCCAAAATTCATTGAAGCATTAGGTACTTACGCTGAATCCTTGTATGCTGTCTAAGCACAAGTAGTCTAGTTCACTAGATGACTGCTGAAATTCTATGTGCAAACCGTTGTCATATCCGGGTAGGTATGCCCTATAAGGGTACGCGTAAATACTTCTATTCGTATAGCCTTGATCAATGGTCCAAGATAAATTCCATTGAGTTTGTGGATTGAAGAAATCCTTTGGAAAAAACCTAAAAATATATCGAATGTCCCTACTTCATAAGTCATAAGACGTCGCAGCCATGTAACGTCCTCGGTAGTGGCAAGAACACGAAAACTTTATCTACGATCAGACAGTATGAACATGATTTTCTTGGATTAATTCCTAGAGAGCATTTTATGCACTTGGGCGGCAGACTCAACTAACGTTACACCCATTACCTTTCTTTCAATCTTTTCTTATGTTTTTCAAGGCACTTCAGCTGTCACCAGCAGACAGACCGATTTTTCGGTAGAGCTACCAATTTTAGTCATACTAAATCTACCGAAAGTTTTTTAAATTCCTAAATAGTATACCTGATATAATTCAACGAAATACAGGATGTTCATTGGGAAAGTTCACATTT